CTCTGTCATCTTTATATAAGTATGCTGATCACTGGAAGCAGCAATATAAGGTTTTTAATTTTCTATAGTTAAAGCTAGTGAATGGCTTAAACTTAATGGTAATGGTATGGTTCTGTAAAGTTTAAACATTCTATCTGTTGCCTTTAAAGGTATTTCTATAAATATCCTTATAGTATCCTTGATTGCGGCTGTCTTTACATCAGCCCATGTATAATACATGTAAATCTGATCACTATGAGTAGGAATCACAAATTGTAAATGTGGAGGTAATTTCCTTTCAATATCATCTAATACTCTTTCTAATTTACTTGGGGGTAGAAAGTATGAACTCATATTTCTATCTGCAGCTACATACAATGCTTGTATTAACTTAGCTAACTCTGTCCTGCTACTTCCTACTGTAAAAGATAACTGTTTTAGATTATTCTGAATCTTAGTGTTAAAAACTAACATTTCAATTCCTGTTTTATGTATTGCCGGATTTTGGTGTGTATCAATGCATTAGTAATGTTCACCAAAGCTCTAGGTACTTTTCTAATATTTTGGTTAATCAATTCATTTGTCTGGTTTAATGAATTCATTATAGTTACTTGTTCACCTATCAGATGAATCATTTCCTTAGATACCTGTCTGTACCTGTAAATCATCAGTAGTTCCGGTTCCGAACAAGAATTTCAAAACAATTCTTCCTGCATTTGTTAAACCTTGTCTCTGTGGAGTTCTGTCTGATATAGATACACTATCTTTAATATATTTTAATTATAATAATAGTTCACCTATCTCATCATGATATTGTTTAATTAAAGTTTTATAATTTTCGATTTGTCCTTCTTGTAAGATTCTTGCTAACTGTAAGATAGCTGTTCTCTGATATAATGTCGCATCTTCTAAACCTTTTGTGTCGAAACTGACGTGAGTATTCACATTCAACGACTTCACAAACATTACTAACTCTTCGTGTAATCGTACTAGTAATCTAACATACTGAGGAAATGGCATGTCTTCCACAATTATCCATTTATCCCCGGATAAGATAAAATTACCTTCTTGAACAAAACTACACCTACCTTGTTTTCCACTGGAACAATACATTCTGTCCAGTCCCGATCTTTATCATCAGTAATATAAGAATGCTGGTAAAACTATAGATACATTGTGATGGATTTATCATTATACATTCATTTTAATATCGATATTTGCTTGAATTAAATTTATATTTACAAATTTACATAACTTATACTGTTAAATATGTATTGTGAAACTCCCGCCTATTCTCTAAAGTTGTAGAAGATTCTCTAGTGTAAGAATCAACAATATAAGTGTATATACTGTTACGTCTCCGTTTGTTAATTAATTTTCTGTAACTTCGTTCCAACGAAACTTTATCGACTTAAGTCCTTTCTTAATAAAACTGGTTTATTCTTTCTGAATATAACTTTACCATACACTTAATTTCAACAATC